TTTAGAATTATGATTTTTTATATCGCTACCCTAAAAATAACTGTTATTCCTGTGTTACTATCTTCTTTATCTACCGCCAGCCTTTTTACATTTCGAATTACCAAGATTTGTGTTTCGATACATCAAATCGAATGCAGTGTTATTTAAAAAATAATTTTAGGGTGGCACTCCTCTCTAATTAAATATGCATGAGTTTATCAAACAGAAAAAAAAACAATTCAGAAACCAAGGGTGAATTTTTACAGCCGCAATACGAATAACAAGTAAGGGATTAATTCCCAAGTTTTCACGTTCTCTGTCCTTCGCATATCCACGTCGAAGCGAAATCGGTCCGGTCCTATGAGTTTCCACAAATATGTGTTTGTCGGCGAACTTAGATGAAAACTAATATTTACATCAAGCTTTAGCTCCCAGCGGTATTCGGTCTAAATCCGGCTCTTTGTGGAGGAAATTCTAGACATGTAATGATTACAGCGCAGACAGGGTCGGCTCTAGGGGGACGTGTTAAGCAGCAAATTTTTGCACTGTCAAATCTGAAGAAAAACAACCACGAATAGTCTCAGCGAACTTCAAGTATACAGGTTGGATTATTTTAGTGAAGCAGAGAAGAAACTAATGGGCGCCCCAAAATTCACGCAAAATTTTAATTTAGCGCCATTTAAAAAAGACAACGTGACAGCTAACAGTTCAGGGCTATTAGAAATGGAGTGCTACACGAAAGAACAGTGCGTTTACATTGTTGAGCAATATTTTAAAAGTAATGAAGGTTTGACATCTACAGTTCGTGGTTTTCATACAAAATATGGTCGAAATGGTGATTTAACTTCATCAACTGTGAATAGATTAATTGAAAATTTGAGGAAAACTGGATCAATTAGTGATCTTAAACACTCAGGCCGTCCTTCAACAAGTGGTTGAACACAAAACATCGAAGCAGTTTGTGAGTGTTGCTGAGAGTTAAGAAACACTTATTCGGCACCCTGGTCAGAAATTTGACATTTCGAAAAGTTATCTACAACGTATTTTCACAAAAGATTTGTATATTGCTTACAAAGTTCAATTGACTCAAGAACTGAAGTCTACTGACCGCGCAGAGAAAAGATAATTCGTTGAATGGATTATGGAACAACACAAATGAATGCTGATTTTTCGAATAAAATCATCTTGATGGCTTCATTAATCGACAAAACCGTCGAATTTGGGGTTCAGAAAATCCACGAGAAACAAATGCATCCATAACGTGGCACTGTTTGGTGAGGATTTTGGGCTAGTGGCATCATTGCCCCATTCTTTTTCGAAAATGCGACTGGGTAAGCAATAAGTTAATGGTGCTCGCTATCGCGATATGATAATCCAGTTTTTCTGTACCTAAAATGCAAGATGTAGACGGCATGTGGTTTCAACAAAACAAGCTACGTGTCATATAGCACGAGAAATTACTTCATGAGTCATTTTCTGATCGTGTAATTTCCCGTTTTGGTGATCAGAATTGACCCGTCAAGTCATACGATTTAACGTCGTTGGACTGTTTTCTTTGGGGTTTTTTTTTGAAGTCTAAGTTTATGCTAACAAGCTCACGACCATCCACGCTTTGAAGAAGGAAATTGAGAATTGTGTCAATGAAATTGAGCATCATTTATTCAAAACATTTATACAAAATTTCGACAAAAGAGTGCGTACATACCAAGCCGTGGAGGACATTTAGGTACCCAATATGCTATTCCATGAATAACCCTATACCAGTGGCTCCCAACCCTATGCCCACGTGCACCATGGCGCCCATAGACCGTTTTACATGTGCCCGCCGCTATGCGATACCTTTAAAAAAATATTTAAATTTTCATAAACCGCCTCGGTGTACACCCAGAAAAAAATTGTATGACTAGTATTGGTGATATTCATTAATTTTGGCTACCTATTGCAATATCTTTGAACTGAAATAGTTAGCGAATAAGTTTCACTTCTATTTCTTTGTTACCATGTGCTTTTTGACGTTTATTTATTACTGTTTATTTTTTGTTTTTGTTATATTATTAACAATGTACAACTATAAATTTACCCATGGGCGTAGCTAGGGGGACGGGGTGTGCACGGCCCACCCCAGCACGCTTCGGGTGCGAAGAAAATCAGTGTGGGTTGAGAAAACTACTCAAATTGACGAATCAATGTCAGCAGAATATTCGACAATCTCCTGTACTACGTCCCTTAGACAATCTAGTCAAAAGTATGGAAACCTCCAAAAATCTCTATTTTAATTGTGAGGACAAAAATCTCAGTAGTTTTCACAGCGCATAAAATTGACCTCGACGTAAAGGTCAAGATTCAAGGTCATATCAAGATCAAGTCGGTTGTTTTAAATGACGACCCTCATTTTCCAGAAAATTCAGCATCCGAATATGATATTGACTGTGACCTTAAGGTCAATGGTCAAGGTCAGTTCAAGGTCAAAAGTAGATTTTTACTGTAATTTTTTACTTTTAACTACGGAATCAGAAGAAGTGACAGTATTTGAACCTGATAGTACTCCTTAGTGACCTTGGTCTTGAAGCCAAGATCGAAAGAACATGTCAAGGTCATATCGGTTTTTTAAGTTGCAATCCCTTATTTCGACGCTAGAAATAAGAGGACGTAGAATTCTACAAGCAAAAAAATTTCTTTATTCAAATGTACAACATTTGATATTAAGGTATCGCACGCAAGAAAATATTTTCATATTTCAAGAAAATTATTTATTTATTTAAATACTTTATATTTCTATCAAGAAATATAATTTCTTACTTTAAAAATAGGCAACATTTAAAATAAATATTTAATACTTACGGTTAAACCAATTGTATTCTTAATTTTATGATTTACATAGATTTTATAGAAACATGTTTTGCATTATTGTATATTAATGTATCGTTTGTTTAACACAAAATTGAATAGTTTTGGTCAAATGATTGTATATACTTATTTTAAGAATATATTTGGATATTAATATTTCTCAGTAATAAAACATATTTTGTTATTTTTGTTTCAAATTCACAACACCTGATACAACAGCTAGGATCGTTGGTAAGTTTAAACTTTCCAGACATATATCGGTTTGGGACTTATTGATGGTCCTCATCATCATGTCGTTAGAATGATCCATCTGCTTTAGTGCCATTACTCACAAGGAGATGTGGATGCACAGAGCGTAAGTGGCTCCATCTACCGTGTACCTCCCACCTACGCCATTCTGTGACCTGCAACAATTTTCTTTCAAGAAAACATAAGTTTGATTATAATATGCTACATTTATGTTGAATAATTCCTATATTGATACTAAATTTTAAATAAATATACATATTTTAAGGAACTGGTAGTTTTGAAACAAATATATTTGCAGTTTGTGATGAACTGTAAGAGATATGGTAGCTAAAGTCCGAGATAATAAATTTCAAAACTATGAAAGATTTGAATTAAATTGTATATATTTACAAATAATATAAATTCTAAGAAATATTATAGATTACAGCAAATATTTCACATAGTTTGACGAAAGTTTGACATTTGAATAGAATAAAATAACATTTACGGCAATTACCTAATTCCATTTAAAACTATCTGCTTATTTGATGCACAAAATAGATGTGTACACATGGATATGATTCAGTATTTTAATTTTCTTTCATTTTCTTCAATAAAAAATTAATTTTATTTATTTTTTACATTTCCATACTTAAAATAGTGCGTGTAACTTTACTTGCCGCACAGTAGTACATAAAATCTATTATGACAGCACCTTTTTGCAAAGAATTTACCTGTGGATTCAGATTATTTTCAACATTGTGGTTTCGAGAAACCATAATTCCCTTTGTAACTGTTTCTTTACGTATTTTTCAGTTATTATTAAATTTTTTATACTTATAACACATCATTAACAAATTGCATGCATTACAAGTTGAAATGAAATGATAATGCTTTCACGAAATCGCAGGTAAACAAAAATTTGAGTGAACGTAACTATGAATATTTGAAATTGCATTCATTCGATACCACAACTTTTTTGTAAAAGAGAGGGGAACCGGATCATTGTAATCTACATCCAGATTTTCGAGATTCCACCCCTTATAACGCTTTGCCTATATCGAATTTAAGTGCGAATTTGTTTTTATTGGATCCTCCCTTATTTTCAACTTCTCATCTTCAGGGGTGTCGTGTTAAATGCTGATTCTGAAGGTTCGTTTGTGTTATCTTCCTGACAGTCAAAGTCATCGAGTTTTACATTACAGAAAACCGCGTTGTTATCGAGTTGTTCAAGAAATACTACGTTTGTGTCCCTCTTTTCTTTTACCGTAAGTGTAGGACTCAGATCATTGATTATAGGAAAAAAAAGGGCATGAATCGAAATTGCACAGATTTTTATTATCTACAAGTTTGTTTACAAATAAAAGATAGTCCAATAATTTTATTTAATCCATTTATTTCAGGTTTGTTGCAAAACCATTTTCAGTCAAAAGTTAAAAACAAGCGAGATATTTAATAAAATATTAATTCATCCTTGAATAAATGACCTTATTTTGCTATAGACATAATTGTGTTAAATAAATTTCGTGAATTTTCTGCAACAACTTCTAGCTGTTGCTGGTACATTCTTCTTGAAACTTTTTTAAATCTATCCATTAATTACAAGTTACAAAAGCAGCACGCACAAAAATCTAAGATCTAAGAAGAAAATAGTACAAATTTAAAATAACACATATAGACTAGGCGGTATCTGTTTTGGTGTGGGTGAATCGTATATCCACGGAGACTTTTGGCTTTTTGGCTTTCAAATATCACTAGAAATGAAAATTTCTATGCGCATAAAAAAAAGCGTGGGCTTAACTTTTGGCGGCACAATTTGTTAAAAAAATTCGAAAAATGTCATATTTTTCTTCCTATTTAATTATGTACCTTTTCAAGAGTTGATTTTAGGCGAAAATGGAAAAGGAAAAAAATGTTTGTAATTAAATTTTATACAATATGACTAGTTACAAATCGAATGAATGATAGCCGAAGGCTGCACGCAATCCTGCGCCCCCTGCCCCCACGACAACTGCATCGTACGTGTGGTCGATTATCGGGTAGACTTTAGAGGCACTATCGGACACTTTAGCATTCTTTCTATCCACTTGAATGTGCAGGGCTCGCGTTAGCGACTGAGGTACGGTATTAACCTGAAACAATAAAAGAATTTAAAGGTAAGTCATTCAAGCGTGGCACAATGTTGTGTAAGGAGCGTGTGGCTGAAGAAAAAAATAATAAAAAAGTGAGAAGTACATGATGCTTTGCTGAAGGTTATAGGAACCAAAAGTATAAATCTGTCGTAAGGCTTAGTGAACCACTCAGAAACGTAATAAAACGTAATCGTAATTGGATAATATTAAAAAATAACAGATAAATACCTGCAATTAAAGTTATGTAACTGAAAATTCACGGGTTGAGCACAGGTGGAAATAATCACTTACCTTGACTACATTATTAATTAAATTTTTCGCTAGGACCGACTGCAATTTTAAAATACTACTCATGTTCACAATTTTACAAATATTTATACGAAATACTGTTGAGCGCCGTGCGCTTTTCCAGATGCGGTGAAGGTAGAATTTCAACTAAATTTGAACCAATCCCAGCTCACACGTGAGAAAAACAAAAGTGACTTGTTTGAATTTTCGCGCCAAAGTCTGAGAAATTCAAAATATCGTTTTACGGTTGAAATAACATGAAAATAAATAACTAAAAACATACATTTCCGTACTAAAAATGATTGTTTTAAAATCTACAACAGAAAATAATATATTTCTTGTACACCTTCAAAAACTGTTTTAGTGTTAAAGTTTAAAGAGAAAGTTACAAGCAGTATTGAAGAGCGTACATAGTCTAATTTTAATTTTTAAATAACTTATTATTACAAACATAATGCACCGTTATCTATACCCAGTTCAAAAACATATCTTTATTTTTGGAGGCAATGACCGCTCACTGATGTGAACGAAGATGCTACAATTTTAGAGGGAGATGTACACTTTCGCACTGGATCCATACTACTTTATTAATAACTCATTGGTTTATATTGGAGGCGTATGTTTTTCAACCAGTCAAATGTTAATAGAGAATATAAATTATTCAAAATTAAAAATTATATTTCTAGTGTTTCATGCATAGGCAACCAAACCTACGCTGTTCTATTTTACTGGTTGCTTATAAGAATATTTAAATTTTTTATAATCTCATCTTTTTCTTGAAAAATTCTTATCATAAAATTTAATAGAATAAAAGTTTATCANTTTTAAATCTGGATTGCAAAATTATTATGCAAAATCTATCGAACCGATTTTGATGAAATTTGGTGTGATGATTCTACATAACATGAAGTTTTCTTAAGCCAAGTATAAAGGTCCTATACCTAATTCAAATACTCCAAAAAAATTCCCTTGTTTTTTAACCCCATTTTTGCGATTTTTTCGATTTTTACAATGATAATCATGATTCATTCGATTTGTAACTAGTCATGCTTTATAAAAAATGTAATTACAAACATTTTTTTCCTCTTCTATTTTCGCCTAAAATCAACTTGAAAATATACATAAATAAATAGGAAGAAAAATATGACATTTTTCGAATTTTTTTAACATATTGTGCCGCCAAAAGTTAAGCCCACGTTTTTTTTATGCGCATAGAAAAACTTTCATTTCTAGTGATATTTGAAAGCCAAAAAGCCAAAAATTTCCGTGGATATACGATTCACCCAAATGTGGACTCTTTGAAACAGATACCGTCTGGACTAAGAGGTATTTAAGTGCAGTCAACAATCAAATTTCAAAAACTCTGTTAAAGGCGATTACAATATTTTGATGTAACATTTTATAGTTGTCAAGTGCCAATATATCACAAACTTCCCCGTATTGATATCTTCGAGTTCTTAGACCAAATCCATTTTATTGTAATTTGTATTGTCCAATTATTCACAACTGGATGAATACCAAGAACAACAGGCATGCATCGAACAACAATTTTTGAAAAACTTTTTTAAATAAAAACATGACATTGTGGTATTAATACTTTTTGTATATAATATTGTTTTTGCACAAAATGGAGGATCACATTAATTAAGTAGTTTTTTACAGAAAAGTTGTTATAGTAAAGATTTTATGGATTTCAAAAATTCATAAATTTAAAAATATGTCTAGATTTGAATTTCTCTAAAACTTCTCTCTTTTTTTAAATCTCAATATCCTAATACAACCATCGCCAAAATGATCCACCTGATATATTGTATTATTAAAAAAACTTAGCAGTGTTCATCGTTTAAATATAATCTTACAGTTAATGTTGTAATTAAAATCCATCGACACACTTGGATTTGATGAAAGAAAAAAGATGAAACTTGGGACTTGCTTTTCAATCATGTTGAGCAAAAAAAGGAAGGAAAATCATTCATAGCCTCGTGGATGACAAGATTTGCGCATTGGAACTATCTTGTGTATTGTAGATTTACACTTAAGCGACTACCCACTATTGTTGCTCGACGTTGGTACTGCCAACATAGCAACTTAATAAGTTTATGCAGAACTACCGATGTAAACATAATGAAAATTCTTAATGCCCAACCCTATTATTAAATTATTATTACTTAAATATTTAAAAAAAAAATTCACTATTTAAAAAAATTTGGAGTTCCATATTCCTTAACCACTAGTCAGAACACAAAAAGTTTTTTCCATGATAATATTAGGAACTTCAAACTGCTGCTTATTTTGCCAAAATAAATCACGTATACTTTTCTTGAATTACCAAAAAAAAAACTGTATTTTGTATTTCCAAACTGAAGTTACTCCCATCCACATTTATAGAAATTTTTTTCTAAAAATGAGGGCTCCTATCGCCTGTTTAAGTCCTGCTACAAATACTTGATTCTCTCTGTGTAATATTTTACATAGAAATATAGGTAGGATTTTCTAAAATTCAAATATCAAGAAATAAAAAAAAATTAATGATGTATTTATAACTTAATCTTAATCCGGGGTAGCAAAATATTTGAAGCCACACTAAGATTTTCCTTTTCGATATAACAGTTTCATTAACTCCCCTGTCATCCTTAATTGTAAGAAATAGGAAAAGGATTCAACAGGCAATCCCTCGAATATCTGTTCGTTAATTGTAAGAAATGGAGCGTCAAATTTTGCGCAAGAATGGCCATTGGGAGATCTACCGAAAGGCCGTTTCGTTAAGATAATTTACTCCCAGTATAACCGTTTTGATATCTAGATAGTATGTTTCAATGAAACACTTGAATTTCTGCAATTTTGTACGAAATGAGAGAGAAAAGCCAATCCTTAAAATGCAGAAATATAGTTTTAATCAATTTGTTGTAACTGAACTTTGTCTAAACTAATGAGTCTTGACTAGTAGGCCAAGCAATAAAACATTTCCTCAAGACAAAAACTACCTGGAAACCGATTGTGCGATTATATGAAGGACAGTTATTAAATGAATTCTGCACACTTTCCAACTCGCGAATCATAATCTTAAATTTGTTATTAACAATTTTCAACAAAAATTCGCACTTTTTTAGTTTAGAATTTTTCTGCGATATTTCTTTAACATGTTTCATACCAAAGGGTACATATTGAAATATAATTTCAATGTATGTGTACCGATTTTAATTTTTATTTTTAATTAAGCTGTAAATTATTCCATACAAACCTCTACTATATTTTATGTCTTACCTTGTACTTTCTTATCCCTGGCCAGCTGTTGGTAGACACTTGTTACATATCAGACAATATCAGAAAACCTCAGGAGTCGGTTCTATATTTACACACAAACTAGTACAATACAATACACTTTGAAATGAATAGAGAGTTTGAAATTCAATAAAGTGTTTATTCAAAAATTTGTTATATGACTTTATACTTGAAAAGTTTATAAACTCAAACTAGGAATACCTTTTTATAAGTAATAATTTTTCCACAACAAAGAATATTTTAATAACAAATTTTTTTTCGGCTCAGCTTACAAACAATAGGTATAAGGAATAATTATAAAAAGAATAACTATTAACTAACTTTATTTGACCTATGCAATACTGAGTACATCTCCTTATATTATTTGTTGCCTATCAGACAGGGGCATCTCTTATATCTAAACAGGAACGAAAATGGCTGTTCATTTGACAGATTTTGTCAGAGCTCGTAAAAATAGTAAAATATTTAAGTTACAAGTGATTGGATAATGCTTATTTCTGTATAGGTAAGTCCTGTGGTTTGTTATTTATACTTTGCAAAGGTTTGATGCGAGAGAAAGCATGATTTATTGGTGATATCTAGCAATATTATACTACTCTGTGTTTTAGGTACCTGGTACGTTGTAAGCTTTGAAGTTTTCTCTGCTGGAAACTATGTAGAGGCCTTGCAGACTATTTATGGGGTCACTGGAAACTGCTTTGGAACTGCTTTATACTGCTGATAGCGGAAAATTTTGATGGGATGACAAAATAACTTTCTCTGGACTCTGGCAAACTGTGGATTTAACTGGTGATTGTTTAATTTTCTTTTTTGGACTGTTTTTTCTTGCTTTATTTTTAATTTTTCGGGAGCTGCCTCTCCACGCTGTACATGTTGCAAAACCCAAGCCGTAACTAATCAATATTTTTTTGTTTTTCTCATCCTTCCTGAATATTCTATCGCTAGCTTTGCTTAAGGTCCATATACAGAATTTTTCAGTCTTTGGAAGTCCTTTTCAATCACTTTTTCACAACACTACTTATAACTAACACATTTTTAACAAATGTCCTTTTATTTTTATATACAATTCAATAAATTAATTAATAAAATATTCCCTATTTTATGTTTTTTAGATCATCTCCGGGTATTCTTACAAAGCCACCTTTAGCTTTGACATTTGTGACATTTATTATAAAAATTAACAATTAATGAAAATTTTCATGTTATGGTTTATGTTGGATTGAAATATCTTCTTTAAGTTTACTCGTCTTCCAACGATATGTATACCAGATTAATCTATAGACTTTAAACTTTCATTCGATATAAGTCACTCTAGGTTTAGATTCGTTTTTCTCTATTACAATAGTGCTACCAATACACGAGAAGGAATCAACTCGATAGACAACACACAACACACGCAATTACGTTCTACTTTACTATTTTATCCAACCTCATATAATTGAATAATGTAAAGTAAATGTACAAAAGCAAATATTAAAAATGTTAATTAAAAAAGAAAAAATTTTGATATCAACAGAAATGTTTTCTGAAAATTTATTGGCGGTTCAAAGTCATATTTTTATTGAAACACATTGTACTTATAAACAATCCTTGTTGCCGACAAAATATTCACTATCGGAAGCTAATCATTTTGCGGTTTACTGAGTACCTCAACCAAACAAGAATGGACGATTTTTCCAAAGAAAATTTGTCTTCGACATCATTATTTTAACATTTAAATCCAGCTTGATTAGGCTGGCACAATGTGATTTATGATCCCCCTTCGGATTTTCTTTAACTTAACGACTATATACTTCATCAATTACAATGGACTAAGAAAATCTCAAACAAAAGGTGCTGTAATATTATCCAACGAAATATTAATAAAAAGATTAATGTCGTCCCCATCCCCCCCTTTCTGAATGTAAGCCTCGTTAAAGATCATTAACAAATTAATTTTAAGTTATATTTTCCCTTCATTTCACTTCGGCTTTAGACCCTAACACAGCACCACTACTGCTTTAAACATATGACGATGGAAAAATGAAATTATGAAATTTATAAAGCCAGTGATAATAACGTGATTACTTGCCTGATTCTTTTAGGTTTCAGCAAGGCGTTCGACGTATTGAACCATCAAGTTAATGTATTTGTAGTTTTTATTTGATAGAACATAGCAAAAATTATAAATTATAATGCATCTGATTTCTTGTCAGTAGATCATGGGGTTCCACGGGGCTCCATTTTAGGACTTTTATTTATACTCCTAGAGGCAGCCATCACTGCTGAGAAAGCGCGACTAGTGTGCGAGAGAGAATAAAAGGACATGCTATCTCTCTCGCTCCACGCGCTGGATTGGTCAACAAAATTTCCAGGATGCAAATTTGAAATTTAAAAAACAAATGATAGATTTCAATGTATTATTATGAAATCTACCATGAAAAAAATCAGTGTGATTGTGGAAGATCCTCGGGATCGTCCAAACTAATAATTAGTTAATTTGTTTATGAGGCCATAACTTGTAAACTATTCAACTTACCAATTCCAGATTTCATATGAGTTATTAGACAGTGATAAGGAATGAGAGGATGCGATGCCAAAACGTTCTGATAATAATAACGCAGTTTATAAATGTTTAATTCAAAAGTCATAAATAAACTTCTTCTGTTTATAACTTTTGATCTAATCAATATTCTTTGACGCTCGAGAACTAGTTTTGTAGGTCTTTTGAAGACGAAAAAAAAGTACGTTGCTGTTTTCGCGTGGAAATGAACAGAAAAAGCGAAAAACGTGAATTTACGTAAAAATTATACAATTAACCAGCCTGTAAACAATCTTTCCCCCATTTTTTTGACTGTGGAAACTAATATGTTATTATACATAATATTTAGCATCTATAGTGATAAATTCAGCTTGCCGAAATAAAAAGTCGCAAAATGGTCATTTCCCAGCTCTTTTTCCTGGCCTACTAGAGGCTTTAGCAACTTTTAGATAACTGTCAGTGTCACCTTTTTTGCTTATTTTGACTAGGACTTGTTTGTCACAACGTCGATCGCTGTTAGGTCCTAATTAATTTTACATTTGAACTGTCCATACAAAACTCTGAAAAAAATATACCTCTCTTTTCCTATCTCTACTACATTTCAATATTCGATATTACTTATGCTGTAATAAAATTTTATCTCCTGATGTGGCAACTGCCGCGTTTGTGTCCATTACTTCAACTGTCGGTGTCTCTCAACGGAAAAATAAGGATATAATTCAAAATTTAATGGAGTTTAATATACTTAAAACGTCATTCCATAAATTAAAATTTAAATCGATTACGGTATGAAAAATTTTAAGTCATAATTAACTGTTTAGAATGTCAAATTTGTTGGTTCAATGAAATATGACTATTTTCAAGGGTGAATTTTTATGTAATCTACCTAGTTATGTACAGGGTGATTAGTAAATGAACCGACACAGGGCAGGTCCGTGTAGGGAACCTTAAAATATGGTGATTTACCGCAACTTGCCTTTATACAAAATTGTTGTGTCATTTAGATGCCAGAAAGGGTTAATGTTCGCAAAAAAAATTAGGTTTTTTCCAAATAACTTTAAAATGCTTTGTCCCATTTAAATAAAATTTGGTATTCTAGTACTTGTGTTTAGATGTGACTTTTCGATATAATAACCGAAATAAAGGGGGGGAAATGCCTCACGTCTTAACCAATATTTTCATATTATTTTTGCACAGGCAACATTACTAGTAGGAAGAATTCGGAAAAAAACTGAAACATTTTCCATACATACATTTTCCAGATATATTTTGCAGGAAGACTCAGTGACTATGAAATATGAAATTAAGATATTTTAATAAAATTTATATATTTGGGATCCAGATGCTTCCAATCCCAAATTAGTACTGCTCAAGCAAAATTTAAATATAGGTAATACTTATTTTTTAAAACAACAAAAACAGAATCTTAATTATTCATGAGTGAAAAACGAAAGGAACCAAAAGATATACCTAATATGTTAATGTGACCAAGAAAACATGATCTTGCAAATTCGCTTAAAGGAAAATGTTTAGCTTCCATGTCTGATGTTTCTACTACAAGAGCAACATGCTCTTGAACATATTCAGAATTCTCCACCCCACTCTACTCTACACTCTACACTCTACACTTCACTCTACTCTATACTCTACTCTATACTCTACTCTACACTCTACTCTACACTCTACTCTACACTCTACTCGACACTCTACACTCTACACTCTACTCTACAGTCTACTCTACACTCTACTCTATACTCTACTCTACACTCTACTCTACACTCTACTCTACACTCTACTCTACACTCTACTCTACACTCTACTCTACACTCTACTCTACACTCTACTCTACACTCTACTCTACACTCTACTCTACACTCTACTCTACACTCTACTCTACACTCTACTCTACACTCTACTCTACACTCTACTCTACACTCTACTCTACACTCTACTCTACACTCTACTCTACACTCTACTCTACACTCTACTCTACACTCTACTCTACACTCTACTCTACACTCTACTCTACACTCTACTCTACACTCTACTCGACACTCTACACTCTACACTCTACTCTACAGTCTACTCTACACTCTATTCTACACTCTACTCTACACTCTACTCTACACTCTACTCTACACTCTACTCTACACTCTACTCTACACTCTACTCTACACTCTACTCTACACTCTGCTCTCCATTGTACTATACAATCTACTCTACACTCTACTTTACTCAGCACTCTATTCTACACTACTCAAGAGCATGTTGCATGCTTTTGAACATATTCAGAATTCTCCACCCCACTCTACTCTACACTCTACACTGCATTCTGCTCTACACTCTACTCTACACTCTACTTTAAACTACTCTACACTCTACTCTACACTCTGCTCTACACTCTACTCTACATTCTACTCTACACTCTCCTCTACACTACTCTACACTCTACACTCCACTCTATACTCTACTCTATACTCTACTCAACACTTTACACTTTACACTCTACACTCTACTCTACACTGTACTCTACACTTTACTTTACACTTTACAGTACACTCCACACTCTACTCTACACTCTATTCTACACTCTACTCTACACTCTACTTTACTCTACACTCTGCTATACACTCTACGCTCTACTCTACACTCTATTCTACACTCCACTCTACACTCTACTCTACACTCTGCTCCCCATTGTACTCTACAACCTACTCTACACTCTACTTTATTCTACTCTGCTCTATTCTGCACTGCTCAAGAGCATGTTGCATGTTGCATCTCTACACTTTACACTCTACACTCTACTCTACACTTTACTCTATACTTTATACTTTACTCTACACTTTACTGTACACTCTACACTCTACTCTACACTCTACTCTACACTATATTCTACGCTCTACTCTACACTCCACTCTACACTTTACTCTACACTCTACTTTACACTCTACTCTACACTCTACTCTGCACTCTACTCTACACTCTGCTCTTCACTGTACTCTACAATCTATTCTACACTCTACTGTACTCTGCTCTGCTTTATTCTGCACTGTTCTGCTCTACTCTACTCTACTCTACTTTATTCTATTCTACTCTACTCTTCGTCGTACCAACCTAATTTTTACTGTTACTAGTACATTAATTAGGAACTAGGACCTAATTTCTTTGTTATTATTTGTTTGGAAGTACTGTTTTCATAAGAATGCTGTGCATAAGATGTGTATAGGTAGGTATATTATTTTTTTAAGTCTAGAATTAGCTGATATCATTGTTCCAAACAATTACCAAGAAAAGAAGTCGATATTTAATCAAATAGAAGAACAAAAACCTTAAGTATCTGGAAACAATTTTTTCAGTGTTTCAATGAAATTTCAAAATTTCCGGTGTAATTTTGTCTTAAGATACCCATCAAGAGAAATATGTACAGATTGTTTTTTCTTTTTCGAAGATGCGGCAATGTTTTAGAAAAACATCAATTGATGGGCTACAAATAGAGACGTAAAATTTCCTTTCATTCCTTTTTGAAAATGTCATATAAATTTTCCTTTCAATTCGATTTTAAAATTTAATATTTTTAAGAAATATAATTACTGCTAACGTTTACCTAATGCCAAATATATGTATATACTTCATTTATGCGATTCCAATTGCGTGGCAGTAATTACCGATCCATCCGACCCTATACAACTGGTCGGTAGTGAGTTAGACGTCAGCGTTATGTTGTCATTTAATGCTACAGTAGCGACAAATCGTTTAATAAGTTTTGCTTAGTTCGCGAATTTGCATGAGAAATGACAATTGAATGCAATTCTGCATATTTAGTTGCAATGTGAGTGGGCGCTTGTAACGTTAATTTCCATCCAGTGTTTCAAATTTAAAAATCAATCCAAACCATTCCAGTAAATTTCAGATAAATATATTACGTTCATCATGTTAAATGTATAGTGATATTTATGTAGATAGTGGAACAGTAAAATTATTTAAATTGCCAAATATTTAAAATTAAAAAAGTGACTGAAACCGTCGAGTATAACACCTCTGGTGTCCTCTGGAGATACATGGACATATTGTGATCAATCAAGGGTCCTATTTCGAAGGATCTCTTCCTACTTACCAATGTAAATGTTATCATATATTTCAAAAAAATAACCTTATTTATTATTATTTTAATAAACAAATCACCAGACAGTGTCCACTATTAGAGAAAATTACATATTTTGAATTTGTTCAAGATGATCAGGATCATGTTGTTCTGGAATCAGAAGATTCAGAAGTATCAAATATATGCTCAGATGATTCAGAGTCAGACAAAGACAGAATATCTACTTTTCAGTGAATTTAGACAACAATGTTTGTTTTCCGACCCTACGTTGTGTTTGTGGTTTTATGTCAAGTTGGTTAAAGCTCAAGTTGAAATATACTTTGAACATTGTTTTTAAGGAAATGGTGAACTTTGTTAATTTGTACTTAAAACCGACTAAGTTGAGATTAAAAGTATTCAGAATATAAAAGTTTTGCTAAAATGTTATTTTCTTATTCATTAAAATTTATTCCAGGAAAATATATCTGGAAATCTGCTCCGAATTTCTGTTAATTTTCCAACAAATAAAAAAAACCAAGACGTTGTAAATTTAGTGCATTATTCAGTACAATCGTGCCCTATTCTATTTTATATATTTTTTAAAGATTATTTAAAATATCCAGCTTGATTTTAATTATTTCGATCATTTTGTCCCAAAGGTATGTACAATGTACAGTGTTAGCCATGGAGGGAGTTGAAATGAGGTAAATAAAAACAGAAATTTAGATGTCTTTTTTATCTTTAGAGCTCAGCTGATGCATTATGCCAGTAACATCAATTGACAACCCCACAAGAAAAAGTCTAATGGCGTTAAATCAAACTACCCCGTTAGTCAGTTAATATCGCATGCTGTGTGGCACGCAGCGCCGTCTTGTTGAAACCACACGTCGTGTTGTTTAAATCCATATCTTCCAATTTAGGCCACACAAAATTGGTTATCAACGACCTCTACCTCTCGCCGGTTGACAGTTATGGCGGTGTCAGCTTCATTTTGGAATAATCACAGGCAAATGACCCCGCCGGACCAAAATCTACACCAAACAGTGATTTTTCTGGATACATTTGTAACTGATGGGTCTCATGTGGATTGCTATCTCCACAAACGTGACAACTTTGGTTGCTGACATAGTCGTTCACCAAAAAATGGATCTCGTCGCTGAAGATGATTTTCTTTCCGATATCGATGTCCATTTCCAACTACTCAGAGCCCTTGACTATATACACTCATAGTCAAAGTTCTTGATTGCGACGAGGAATTGTCTGCCTCGGTCTATCTTGCACAGTTGCACACCCTCGTTCACTGCAGCAATGTTTTCTGCAGACCACACGTTTCGATGACGCACGGGTGCTGTTTGATTGTTTAATGTACCAGTTAGTTCGAATTTATTCACCAAACGACGAATAGTTGACTCAACAGCACGATTGTGTCAATCAAATAGCGCACAGAATGTAGCTCGAACTGCGCACTCTTTTTGATAATAAAGTTTAATGATTTGCAGAAGTTGCTCAATACTGTAATTTTTCATGATGATTTGCCCAACATTATTTACCATTATTACATTATTTACCTCCTAACTTGACAGCTGTAACTTCACCAACATGGCCGCTATACGCTGTCAAAGTTCCAGCGCCCCTCGACAACCCTATACAATCAAGTCCGACACTGTTATTAACTATGTAATTCGTCATTTAAGGACAATCGTGTATAATATTTTTATTAAATGAACGTCCTTTTTGTTTATTTACTATGTATATCTACATTATGGTAGGTTCATTTTAGTAGGCCAAGAAATATAGAGTTGGACGCGACATTTTGTTTCGGCAAGCTGAATTTGTCACTATAGATGCTAGATATTATGTACAATAACATATTAGTTTCCACAGTCATAAAAATGGGGGGAAGATTGTTTACAGGCATTGTATAATGTTTACGTAAATTCACGTTTTTCGCTTATAACTTTTTTCCGTTCATTTCCACGAGAAAACAGTTAGTACTTTTTTTTCGTCTTCAAAAGACCTACAAAACTAGCGTCCAGCGTCAAAAAATATTGATTAGATCAAAAGTTATAAACAGAAAAAGTTTATTTAACTTAACTTACTTCCACAAATAAAATATTTTTACCTGTGAAAGTACTCGGGTTGCCTGTTATGACAGTATTTTTTTTGCCGCTATCAACCTAATTTGTTTGCCCGTGCGTCGTATATTTCATTTTGCAACTAAGGCTAAAAAATAAAAAAAATTACAGGTAGCAAATTTGAAATTAAAAAAAAAAGAAATTATATATTTCAATGTATTATTATGAAATCTACCACGAAAAAAATCAGTGCGATTGTGGAAGATTCTCGGGATCGTCCAGACTAATAATTAGTTAATTTGTTTATAAGGTCATAACTTATAAACTATTCAACTTACTGATTTCAGATTTCGTGTGAGTTATTAGACAGTGGTAAGGAATGAAAGGGTGCAATGCCAAAACGTCTGGTAATAATAACGCAGTTTATAAATGTTTAATTCAAAAGTCATATATATTCTTCTGTTTATAACTTTTTATCTAATCAATATTTTTTGACACTCGACGCTAGTTTTGTAGGTCTTTTGAAGACGAAAATAGAGTACTTTACTATTTTCTCGTGGAAATGAACAGAAAGAAGTTATAAGCGAAAAACGTGAATTTAAGTAAAAAATATACAATTAACCACCCCGTAAACAATCTTCCCCCCATTTTTATGACTGTGGAAACTAATATGTTATTGTACATAATATTTAGCATTTATAGTGATAAATTCAGCTTGCCGAAACAAAAAGTCGCGAAATAGTCATTTCCCAGCTTATTTTGCTGGCCTATTAGGCCATGATGCCCAAAATAACTCATTAAATATAAAACATATTTTTTAGGTATAAATAGTAACTCCTATATAAAATACTTATTGTATAAATATCAATTTTAAGTTTATAATACTTCATATAAACAAAGTTGGTTCACATTGTATAGATAGCGAGTAATAAATTGAGAAGTAATAACATAAGTAGTAACATAATTTTAATTACATTATTATTGAATAAACGAAAAATATACAACAAAACATACTTTTTATTTTTCACTAACTTAATATTTTTATGTTTATTATGAAGTCACAAAGAAGATACGATGTGGCAAAAGAAACTACGGAAAAATTAATAGGAAAATTTTATACTGGCATTAAATATTCCAAAACAACAACTTTGTCATAACTTTTCCAACTGCGTAAAACATGCTTGAGGAACGGCACAGGCGTGTCTCTGTGGCAGTTAGATAATTAATATCCATCGTTTACACTCACTAATTATAAAATACAACAATTTTTTCTAATATTTTTGACACGATAATCTATTAATATTAATAGTCCGTTTTGAAGTATACGCCTCAAACTGTCTTTTTTGTCCGTATTCCTAAGTACATGCGGCCCTGTGTTGTAAAAGAAGTTATTCATGTTGGGGTAAATGTCAGACAATCCAGAGAAATTATTATCATTTTGTTGATTTAATAATTGAGGAATATTGCGTAGATGTTTTAATTTCGCCCAGATTTAAATCTGACAATTTATATGCAAACACGTCATACAAAAGAACATCAAGTCTTAATAGCAAATTGCTTTTTTTATGTGTTCTAGATTGTATCTGAATCTGTTTCAATCCTCGTAAATTATATCGAATGGATTTCGATATGCCTTTATTTAAAAATCGAATTGTACAATGGAGGACTCACTTATACATAAAACATAAGAATTAGTTTCACTCGCAGGAAAAGCTTTGCTGGTACATACCCACTCTTTTGTCGAAATTTTTCATGAAAATTTTGCATAAATGCAGCTGAATTTCGTAGATATAGAGCCCAATATCTTCCTTTAAGTCGTGGGTGGTCGTGGACTTGTCGGCATAAACCTTAGACTTCAAAAAACCAAAGAAAAAGGTAACGTCGTTAAATCGCATGATCTGGACGGCCAATTCTGAGCACCAAAACGGGAAATTACACGACCAGAAAATGACTAATGCAGTATTTGAATTGCTTCTCGGTCTACATGGCATGTGGCACCGTCTTGTTAAAATTATACAGGGTGTACCATTGAAAACTTTGCAGCCGGCTATTTTGAACTACGTTCCAAAA